CATAATTTGCAGGACTGCAAGAGGCACAGTGACCCCAATTCTGGTCTGTTTTACTCCCTGAGAACAATGGCCTTTTTCTGTTTTCTCACTCTTCCTCTGGGATTAACACTAAATAACCCAGCACTTGAAAAGCACACCTAATTTTTCAACTGTAGGATAATTTAAGCCAAATACTTGAGAAAGTAGTTTAATAGCAAAGTTCCAAAGCAGTAAATTATATCTCCTGTAAGAAAAAAATTAACTCTTATTATTTCAACTCCAAAGAGAATGTTATAAAGAAGTTAATGAAAATCATAAGACTTAAAGTATAGCATATACCCAGGGAAAGTTATCTAACCCTGGCCTAATTAAAACTAGTTTTTCCTCACATTATCTTTCTTAAAAAAAAGAAACAAAGAAAGAAAGAAAGAAAGAAAGAAAGAAAGAAAGAAAGAAAGAAAGAAAGAAAGAAAAAAAGTCAGTATGAAAATATTTAAATTCACCTTGCAAGCATAAGAATATTGCCTGCCAGAGGGGCTAGAGAGATGACTCAGCAATTAAGAGTACTGACTGACTGTTCTTGCAGAAGACAGGGGTCTGAATCCCAGCACCCACATGGCAGCTAACAACTGTTGGTAACTCCAGTTTCAGGGGATCCAAAGCCCTCTTCTGACCTCCATGGGCACTGCATGACACAGGTGCACTTGTGTACATTCACACGATAACATACATATACATTTAAAAAAAAAAAAGGAAAAAATATTTTAAAGAAGAAAAAAGAGGGGGCTGGAAAGATGGCTCAATGGTTAGGATCACTGTGGTTCAGATCCCAGCACCCACATGGCAGCTTGAATAACTGTCTGTAAAACTCCAGTTCTAGAGGCTCTGACAGCCTCTTCTGACCTCCGCGGGCATTGCACGACATGGGTGTACTTCCATACATGCAGGCAATACATGCATACACATAAAATAAGAATAACAAATAAAATATTTTTTTAAAAAAAAGAAAAAAGAATATTGCCAGGAAATTATCAAGAAGATATTCTGAAAGATAGGAAGTAACTTTCCCCTCATTCTTAATCAGCTAAAATATATAATCTGAAGTCAAAGGTAATACTATTTTTGGCATTTTTAGATTAGAACCTATAACCATCATGTGTCAGTTACTGGGTGCTTTACTGTCTACCCTACTATTGATACTGTGTTAAGTCTTGACATACACCATTCATTGAATTCTCACTTCAACCTTCTAAGTGAACTACTATCTGTACCATTCCCTAGCTACAATGGAGGTCCACTCACCAAGATGTTAGCTTATCTAGGACCAAAGATTTTAAATACATGGTTGGCATTTGGACACAAGTTTATATGCCTCCAGAGTAAAATTTAGTGCCTTTTCACAGATCAGAACTTCATAATGTGATGACAGAAAACAACACCTGTGCTAATTAAAGCAAAAAATGTCAAGTCCTAAGTCAGGGACTGACCAACTTTTTCAGTTAAAGGGCCAGATGATAAAGATGCGCTGGATAAACTCTATTAGTAATGCTCAACTCTGCTGCTGAATGACATATTAGCCATCTAGAGCACATAAAATGAACGAATGTGACCCTGTCCCAGTAAAGGCTTTTTCTTTCTTGTGTTGCTAGGAATCAAACCTAGGGCTCCACAATTGAGCCACACACCTAGCTCCCAATAAATTTTTTGATATTTTTCAACCACTTAAAAATTAGCCTGGTGTGGTAGCACACGCCTTTAATCCCAGCACTCAGGAGGCAGAGGCAGGCGGATCTCTGTGAGTTCAAGGCCAGCCTAGTCTACAAAGTGAGTTCTAGGACAGCGGGGGCTACAGAGAGACCCTGTCTCAAAAAGACCAAAAAAAAAAATTAAAATCACTCTTAGCTCACATGAGCATTCAAGCCTATAGTCTATATTGTGAAAAAGGGCTAGGGAGATGGTTCAGTCAGAAAAGTGCTTGGCATGCAAGTATGAGAACTTGAGTTTACCTCCCCTAGAAGCCACATTAAAAATAAAAAGTAGGCATGATGGACTATGCTGGTAATCCCAGTGCTGGGGAGATGGAGACAGGCAGATCTCTGGGACTCACTGGCCAGCCAGCCTTGTGAGCTCCAGGCCAATGAAAGACCCTGTCTCAAAAAACAAGATGGATGGCTCCTGAGGAATGGACACCTGAGGATGACCTCTGGCCTCCACATACATCTGCACATACAGTGCCCTCATATGAACACACACACGCAGGCACACACACATACACAAATGCAGACAAATTTAAAATGTTTGTGATTCTTACAATGCTAAGAATTGAACCCTGGGCCTTCCATATGCTGGTAAGCACTCTACTACTGAATTACGTCCTGCCCGTAAAATATCTTTTCCACTGGCAAATTCTTACTTGTAAAATTCTTGGGTATTTTGAACTGATACTCTAAAGAAGCTCAAAATCTTAATAAACTTGACCTGTCCCAAAAAAACTGAAAATTCCCAAATTCCAAAACTAGGAGTACTACACAGGAATCTCCTCAAAAGGAAAAATCACAGGGCTCAGAGGTTAAAGCAAAGGCTGCTCTTGCAGAGGACCCAGCACCCACATGGAGACTGTAACTCCAGTTCCAGGAGACCCAATGCCCTCTTCTGGCTTCCACAGGTATGCATGTGGGGCACTAACATACATGCAGGCAAAAGTCATACACATAAAATAAAAATATATAAAACTTTTAAAAAAAACACACAAAAGTTTAGAACTGGAAGTAATCTAACACTTTGTTGTTCTTTATCGACATTTTGTAAATTTTTCTAGAATAGTTTGCCAAGGGTTGGGGATATAGGTCAGGAGCCAGAACTTGCCTGGCATTTAGGCATGAGTCCCTGGGTTTAATCCCAAGTACCACAAAAAAAACTAAATCAATAAAACAGCTTATGAAGCCAATCTGCCCCAATGAAATAGGTCTGTACTTAATACTGTTTTATGTAATAATAGTGCTACTTTACACAGAACAAGTTTTACAAAGCAGTTCCACATAGTTTCTATCACCTGATCCTCCACAACTATATGAAGGAGACAAAACAAGCTTTCCCATTCCTTTTTTAAAAAATAAGAGAAACAAGTCCAGAAATGACAACCTTGTACCCCAGGAAGGTACAACGCCACTCAGCTAATAACCTACAAAACTGAAATCATGGTGTATCTTCAAGTCCAGCTGCCTCTTGGCCTCTTCTATGGACATCAGATTGCATATTCATTGGTTAAACAATGAATTCTCAACAATGCTAGTCTTAGCCTTTAAAGATACCACTATGTTTAGTTCATCTCATTTTCTTTTGCTACAGTCTTAAGAAGAAAGCATCTGCTAGTCCCTGACATTTATTAAATGCATCTACAGGCAACAGTGAATCTATATATACTATGCAAATGATATGCCCAGTCAGTTTGGGAAGAGAATATTTTGATGAAAAATCATCCAATGGCGACTGAAGGTGCTGATCAGTTGGTAGAGAGCTTGCCCAGCATGCATGAAGGCCTAGGTTCAATTCTAGGCACCATGTAAATAGGACCTAGTAAAACACACCTATAATTCCAGGACTTGGGAAGTAGAAACAGGAGGATCAGGACTTGAATGTCATCTTCAGCTATGTATGGAGTTTGAGGCCAACCAAGGATACCTGAGACCCTGTCTTAAGGAAAGAAAAAAAGTCATCCAAAAAGAGAAAAAGCAATAATAAAAACATCTTCAGAATAGCACCAAAAAAAAAAAGAGAGACAATAAAAAAACAGAAAGAAGTGAAACTGCACCGCCGTTAGAGTCTCAACCTAACTGTGGCTAAGCTTCTGGTGATCGAAAAATAATGTGGGGCTGAGGAAAGGAAAGAAAAGGAACTACTACTGGAATTCAAACCAACATCAAAGGCTCTAATGACAGTTAAGCCTGCCTTGCTGGTTCTCAGCCTCTCTCTAAAAAAAAAAAAAAAAAAAGTTATATAACTGAACAAGCTTCAACTAACATTTCCTCTCTGTTCCACATACATCTCTGGTCCTCCACTTCTTCGCCCTGCCCCCATCCCCAGGTGCAGGATCATAAGCAATCTGGGCTCCCACCATGGCTATTGCTGGACAAGTCTCTGTCCAAAGTGCTGCTTTATTCCAGAGACTGCTAGCTATACAGGGACCATGGCAGGCACAGATAACTGCTTCACAGTTCCAACCTCACACCATCACGACAAGTGTTCTACGAAGCACCACCATATACCCAACTTTACAATGAATCAGACTCCAGATGTTGCTGAAAATGTAAGTCACATCATCACAATACTCCATCTTCAGGAAAAACCCTATGAAAAATAATATGCAGGAGTACTTGAAAAACTCTGAGGATGTGTTATGGCAATTATTGCTTCTACTGCCTTCCCACTCAAATCCATGACAAATGTGGATTCTGCCTTAGACTTCAAATCACACAAAAAGGAAAAATATATACTGATGAACCACAACCATCATTATTCAAAAATATTCCAACAAACCCAGTGACTGAATCAAAGTAGCACATTCTGTGAACTCTAAAAGCCAGTTACTACAGCACCATTTGACTTTTCTTCTCCCAATAGAAACACACAAATACAGGCAATGTTTACAAAAGCAACCAATGTATCAGAAAAGTTCTCCCCATTCAGACGCACTTATGAGGTCTCAATCTGTGCCAAATAAAACTGAAAAAATGGAACAACGCCATGGCCCAGCTTTCCATGTAGCATCATGCACTGCCTCTAGCAGTTTGAAGCTGATTGTAATTCTGCATCAGATCAAAATTATAATTACCCAAATTCTGTTTCCTAAAGGATAGGTATCAGACCATCCCAAGCATCCTGCGGTGGGCCTCTTTCTCCCCTCCGCCTTCCCTAAGCTTCAGCCGCAGGTGAGGTTCTGAAGGTCTAAAGCTAAGAAATCAAATCCGACTTTCTCTTCCTACTGTGCGCTCTGCATGAAAACCTTTAACATAAATACTTACTCTAGTCAACAAGATGGGAAAAGCACCATGCGGGGTGCCGGGTAAAGTCAAGGGGGAAAAGGCACCAAGTCACCAGTACCGTCCAAAATGTAGCAGCAACTTCAGCCGATGGGAAGCGAGGAGGGGAAACTCCGCCGGAGTCCCGGAAAGTAGACACATCAGGCTCTGCTGCCCCCACGCGCGCCGGGGTTCCTCAGGGAGCAGCCGGGTCCCCAGGGTCCCCCACCAGGCCAACCCCGGGGACGCGCGGCGGGGGCGGGAAGTGCTGCAGCAGGCCAGGCGCCCGTCGGAACGCCCCGTTCCATCGCCCAGGGATGCGAGCGGGAGGCGGCGGGCCCGCAGAAACGCGGGCCCGGGAAGCGGGGTAGGCGAGCACCAGGGACCGGGACGGCGGAAACCCGAGATGCCCCCCAGGAACATTCGATCGCCACGCGGACTTCGCAAAGCCTTGGCTCCCGCAGGCGAGCGAGGCCCCCACAGACCTGCCCGCGCGCCGGCCCACGTCACCGGCGCCCCCGGCCAGCCC